GCGGGGGCGGGGAAGGGGCAGAGCGGTAGGGGAAGAGACGGTAGAAGGGAACCGACTCGTCGAACGTGACGTCCTGAGAAGGGAGGACACGGCGCAAGGTGGGGTGGTAAAACTGCCAGCCAGGCGCATCAGGGACAAAGCCAAGGAAGATGCAGGGAATAGCGCGGGCGGAGAGCTTGTCCGCGGACGTATCGCGAACAAAGGCACGAGAACCCCAGACCCGGAACACCGACGCATCGCCAACCTTCCCCGTCCAACGCAGTGTGGGCGAGGTCTCCGGCAAGGAGACACGGGGCCAAAGGTTGAGCTGATGCGCAGCGTAACGGACCGCAAACGGCCACAGAAAATGGGGAGCGGCCGCATGAATCATGGAGGTACGAGCGACCTCCATGACTAAGCCAATGCGGCGCTCAGCAATCCCATTTTGCTGAGGGGAGTCCGGAAGCGTGAACGACTGGGTGATGCCCTCCCCACGACAAAAGTCCCGCAAGAGGTCGGAGGAGAACTCACAACCTCTGTCAGAGTGCAGACGCAGGACAGGAAGGTCCTGGCCGAAACGCTCTCGCAGCTGGAGACGAACTGTGCGGATCCAAGGGATCAAGACAGAGAGACTTCACCCTTGCTGCGCAACGGGAAGACTGTGGTGTATCGCGTGTAGTCGTCAACTACCAGCAGAAAGTAGCGCTCGCGGCCCTGTCCACTGACGCGGGCTGGGCCCCACACGTCCATGCGGAGGGTCTGTAGGGGAGCAGTCGTCGGGGGAAACGAGGAGGAGTGAGGAGCGGCGCGCTGCCGTCCCTCGACGCAAGGAAGACAGGGCGGGGCAGGCGAGGGCGGCAGGGGAGGCAGAGACCTGGGGAGACCAGAGACAAGGAGACGGGAGTGCATGCCACGAAGGCGTGGCAGGGAGGGGTGACCCAGGCGGTGGTGCCAAAGAAGAGTCTGGTGCGACAGGAGGCGACACGAGCAAGAGGCGGCTACCTGACCTGACGCGGACACCTGAGCAGACGCAGCGACCTGAGGAGGCTTGGTAGCCAGTGTGTACAGACTCGACCCTGGCCGACGAGTGAACGTAGCCAGGTGACGTCCCGTCCGGTGTTCTTGATTTGACTTGGCCGTCGTTACTTGTCTCGTTTGTCCTTTCTCGATCGTTTGCTCACCGTTGTCCTTTCCGCGTTGCCGCTGATTTATCCGTGCTTTCTAATGCGGCCTTTCCGTCGTCCATTCACCACATACCTTGAATATGTATTGACCTTGTGACCCGTCCTTTGCCACGCTGGCCACGTCACGCCGCGTCACGCCACGTTCATGCCACGCCATCATGCCGACCAGAGACCCAACAACGTCAACACGCTTTTCCCTGTGACCGTGCGGTCGATTGCCAACGCCGGAGTGCGCGACACGACGGAAAACTCGCTTTTCATCAACGGCCACGATGCGACCAACGTGCGTACCAACCAACGGTTGCCATTCGCACGTGTGACTCCATTGCTCTCAAACGGCCTGCTCCTATTGACCAAGAACTACCGTCGTTCTTTCCCTGTGACTACGTTCGGCTCGTCTAAGCGCCCAACGCGCTCGCCAGGCTCGTGTCAGTCGATGCTTCCCAATGTCCTGCCTGCAGTGCCACTATGCGTATCTTGGTGTACTTCTTACCTGTTCCACGTGATTCACGTTTATGCGTGTATTTCTGGGCCGCCTCAAATCAATCTGCGGTGCTGCTACTCTGTTCCACGTGTCTCCACGTGACTGTACGTGTATGGCAGATGGTGCTAGTAGGCAAGGTGGCGAGGCGCGACGACCACGAGACAGACGTGTCGATAGTGCTGGACGATAGCACGGGCAAGATTGAAGTGCGCCGATGGTGAGAAGGGGGAGGAGGGCAAAGGGGAAGGAAGAGTGGGATGGATGATTTGGGAGGGGAAGGGAATGGAGGGGAGGTGTGTTTGTGGGTTGGTGTGGGAGGAGGAGGAGGAGGGGGGGAGGGTGTGTGGTGTGTGCGTGCGTGCTGCTGCTGCTACAACCTGTCGCACTCTTACTGTTCCTGTCAGATTTATGCAGCTATGTTTTTTTGCTGCTTGCCTCTAACCACCTCTGCACTCTGCCGTTTCTGATGTAAGTTGACTATTTAAAGAGGCTGCTCGGCTACTTCCTGATTCTTTCTTACACCTTCCCAATTTCAATATTTCTTTTCCTGCATGTAAATTTACATGTCCTTGTTTTACAGGATTGATCGTGACACTAACGAGTTGGCTACCTTGGAGACCGTGCGGTAGGGTCACCCGAACACTCATGATTAGTTGTGAAAAAATACTTATAATAAAACGTTACTTGCAGGTAATTTGACAACATCATTTCGGTTTTCCTTATTCCCATTATTTCCTTTATTCTCTTTCTTTTAAGTGTCTTTGCTGGGATGAATCGGCTGGAAAGGCCACACGGCAGTTGTGTGCGTGGAGAGTGCCTGATTCTTTTTGGTGTTACAAAAGTGCCTTGAGATTGACATTGCAGGAACCAACTGAAGCTGGCTCGTAAGTGTTACGTACTCCTTTTCGGTTTGTTTTTCATCCCTCTGCTGTGCGTCCTTATCCTCTCCCACCAATCACAGCCCTGGAGTGTACGTTCGAGTGCATGGCCACGTGAGGTTGCAGAACAACAAACGATACGTCATTGCACATGCTGTCAGGTGTGCACTTCTGCTATTTTAAAGAAGAGGGATGTATCGCCTTGCCGCGTATGTCTCTTGGTTTTTGTGACTTGTGAGTCTTGACGCTGCTTTCGATTCTTGGAAGCATTCTGTTGGTTCATGCAAAGAGCGGGCGCAATTCCCTTCCCAACAATTCTAGCACTACACGTGCACTTTGCTAGTCAGTCCATGGTGTCACGGTCGATCAACACTTCTTCCCCCCCCCTCTCCCCCCTCTTCCCCCGGTCCCCCTCCCCTTCGCCCCCCATCTCCTCTACCTCTCTAGCTTGTGACTGTAGTCGCTTTTTTTCAGGAAAAAAAAAAAAAAAAAAAAAAAAAAACTCATTTTCCTCCTTGTTGGTGTCTATGTGTGCAGGCATGTCACGGATTTCAATGAGGTGACATTCCATTTCTTGGATGCAATTTTCGTGTACCTGCACACTCGCAAAACCCAGGTACGTAACTAAAGGAAACAATTGAAGGGTTTGCAGCCCTTCTGCTGTGAGTGAAGATTTCAGGATACCATTTTTGTGTACCTGCACACATGCAAAACACATGTACGCATGGTAGGGGGGTGCAGCAACGTCACCGTTTCCGCAGTCGACAGCTTACACATTTCCATTTATGTGGAATGTTTCTTGCATCTGGTGTTTTCTCGCTCTCGTCTCTTTTTTTATGGGGATAAATACGAGACAGACGTGGCACATAACACTGTTCAAAGCCAGAGTGGCTCTGGTTGTCTCTTGCACCCACTCACTCCTCACGTTTCCCCTCACTCTCCCCTTTTCATGCTCACTCACTCCCTCTCTCTCAATCAATCGTACCTTTCACAGGGAGGTGGAGTGGATGGAACAGAGGCGTCACCCCATCAGCCCCCACAGCGGCCACAACAGCCTGCTTACAACCAGGTAGGGATTCACAAAAATTCTGCTGCCACTGCTACTGCTTGTAATCCCTGCTGTGTTCCTGCTGCATTTTGCCCTGCTTGCCTGCTGACATGCACGATGACTAGTGTCAAAACTTCTGTGCTTTTCCATTTCCTCGTCTCTGTCCTATCTCTTGCGTTGCCTTGGCAGTACGTGCCGCCACCAGCACCGGCAGCAGCAGGAGCAGCAGGGGGAATGGGCGGCGGCGGCGGCGCATTTGGTGGTGCTGGAGGACGGGGAGTGGAGCTCCGTGACAGAATCATGCAGTTCTACGAGAGTCCACAGAATGCGTGAGTGCGACACGTGGGACAGCTTGGTGAGATTGTTGTTAGAGTTCGTATGTGTGGTTTTATGTCCTTGAGAAGATGCTTTTTGCTTAATTTTGTCAAACATCTGTCACTCAATGCAGGAGTGTCCAACAAGGTATTCACCACCAGCAAGTGGCCCAGAGCATGCCAGATGTGTCGCCCCAGGAGATCCGGTCAGTGATGGTTTATTGTGCATTTGAAATTGTGTGCGTGCATGTGTGCGTGTGTGTGTGTGTGTGTTGGATTTTTGGTTCACATTGGTCGTAGCATTCATGTCTCTAATATTGACGATGATTATTCGCCTACCTCAATGTGTGCTATTTCTGTTACAGGAGCACTGGAGTTTCTTGTTATGGAAGGGCTTCTCTATTCCACAACTGACGAAGACCATTTTCGATCCACAAATGCATAAATATAGGACCAATAGAGGAGCACCTTTACTGAACTCGCATGTTGCGTGGCCTTCACCGAAGGATTTTGTGTTGCATGGTTTCCGCACCAATTGTACTTTGTCCTGTTTTGTATGCCTTTTTTAGTGAACTTAGTGAAGTGCATATTAATGACTTCAGAAAACTCAAATTATAATTTTTATCCATCATGAATCTGAGCTCTAGTTCCTCAGCACGCTTTTCAATAGAGGGGCCTTATATCCGAATGCAACATGTCTCAACATCCAACGCGACTAAATCCAGAGTCTTGTTTCCCACGTGACCTCTTGTTTTCCGCCTTCCGCGCTCCATCCCCTTCCGCCGTCCGCCATCCGCCGTCCGCCTTCCGCCTGTGCGCTCGAGCCGTCCGCGCCTGTCGCCATGAAGGCGTGCATCATGCGAACGCTGGGCGCTTCGAGTGCGGGCTTTCTGACAGGATCTAAGAGGTATAGATAGATGCTGATTACGACCAGGTTAATAATGAAGATTTTATATGTCAACGTTTTGCAAGTCTTGCTGCATAGTAGCGGATAACAATACCGATATGGCGGGATCGAAATTCGTTATGTGATTGTATTTCCCGCCAGGTACCTCACCAATACCTGCCTGCCACGTGTATTGCGTCCCTCCCTCTCCTCCGTTGGTCAGGCTCATGGTAGCTTCGGCCGCGTCATCCCGAACCCTGCTGACGATGCGCCCATCTGGCCAGCGCGCGTTCCACATCAGCGCTATGATGGGGGAGGAGGCGCGGCGCTTCCAGTCAGGCGGTCAAGGTCAGTGCTGGGGGGAAGCAAAGGGAGGGGGAGGGGGAGGGGGATGGGAGGGTCAAACTGTCTTAGAGGGAGAGAGGGAGGGAAGCTGGGGAGGAGGGGAGAGACGGATGAAAGGGGGGGGGTCAAAGAAAAAGGGCGGAGAGGGGCGAGGTTGGGGAAGTTAGCGAATTTTGGAGAAATCGCCTTGTCTTCTTCTCTCCTCTTCTCCCCTTCTCCCCTTCTCTCCTCCTCTCCTTCTCTCCTTTTCCTCCACCGTAATGAGGTGACTTTTGATTCGACTCAAAAGTTTCCTCCCTCTGCTCATCATGCCTCTTTCCGGGAGTCCACCTTACCTGCTCTCTCCTCATCTTCTCGAAGCATCCCCCCTCTTGAACTCATCACTTTGCTGCCTCCTCCCTCTGTCATTCCCAATCCCCGCCACCCCCACCACCAGAGCCCTCTGCTCACATTCGTGTATTCATGGACCATACTATTCACAAGGGCAAGGTCACTATTCGTGTACTCGTGTATTCATGGATGCCATAGCTCCCTGTTCTTGCACTCATCACTTTACTGCCTCCTCCCTCTGCCCCCCTCCTCCACCCCCCACCACCAGAGCCCTCTGCGCGTGTCTTCGTGGATCACACGGTGTACAGGGGCAAGGGCGCTTGATGGCACTCCTGCTCCCCCCTCTTGCCCTCATCAATGTGATGCTTCAAACCCCACCACCCACCGGCCCCCACTGCCACCACCAGAGCCCTCCGCGCGTGTATTCGTGGATCACACGGTGTACAAGGGCAAGGGCGCTCTCAGTTTCGTCCCCATTGCCCCTCGCTTCCGAGTCACCCAGGTACGCCTTCCCCCCTCTTCGCTCCTGTCCCCTCCCCTTTCCCCCCCACTGCTCTCCCCATCCCCTTCTCCCCCTTTTTCTCCTGCCCCTCCAGTTCCCCGCCCCCCTCCTTTTTTCCCACCCATCTTCCCCACCCATCTTCCCCGCCCATCTTCCCCGCCATTTCTCCCCTCTCCTCTAGTGCTTCACCACCGGTACCTTGCTTGGAAATCCTCTTAAAGAGGGAAGCTGGACAAAGACTTACAGATATGGGAAGACGCGTCTAGCGTCTTAGACGGTTGCGTCTAGACGCAGCGTCTGAGACGCTAGACCCATTTCAGGCTAGATTAGACGCATATTAGACGAAAGCTCGGCCAGGCCAAAAAAAATGTTCGGGCAGCCTAAAAAAACTTCTGTGGGGCATGGGGAGGGTGGGGGGACATGCACATATGTCACATAGGTCCCTAGGGACTAGGAGACGACATGGTTTCGCGAGGGAACTAGCAAAACCCTAAAGGGTTTTTGAAAGAGAATTTGGTAGAAATGAAAGATGGGGAGCACAAATGGGGGATTTGTGCTCCGCAACCTCTTGGCGGTGCAGTGAGGTTTGTGTTCAATTTTGGCTGGGGGGGTATCAAATTTGCTTGGGGGGCTGGTTTCTATGGTCGAAATGGGTGGGACGGGGTGCAAATGTCGCGAAATTGAATTTCGCTTCGAAATCGCGAAATTAAATTTCGCGCGCGCGCGAATTTTGTTTTTGTTTTTTCGGGCTGACCGAAATTTTTTGGGCCAAGCGTCTAGCGTCTAAACGTGCGTCTTGCGTCTTCCGCAACATAGTATGGCACACATGATAATTTCTGTGTTATCCTTGTTGTAAAGTTTGTCATTACTTGAGGCGCCTGAAAATCCAGGCTCGCTTAATACGTCTCTCTGACCACCCTGCCGCTCGTTTCCCCACCCCCACCCCCACCCCCACCCCCACCCCCGCCCCCGCCCCCGCCCCACCCTGCACTACCATTAGCTCGTGGGCCGACTGGTTCCTAGACAGTCAGTCACCTGCAGACATTGCGTTGGCTCATTTGAAAGAGGGTTTCCTCTGCGTTGGCTCTATGCCAATTCGACTGGTTGCCCTTTGCCCTTCCTTCCTTCCCCCTCTTCTCCGTCTCCCCCCCCCCCTCACAACTTCTCCCCTCCTTTCTGTCCGCCGTGCCCTGTGCGGACGGGTGCATACGCATTGACTCATGAGCGCTCGGTGTTGCTCAATGTTGCCAATTTTACCCTTTAACCTATCCTTTCCCTTCTCCCCCCCTCCCTCCCCAACTTCCCCTCTCCTCTCTTTCCCTCCCGCTTGTGCAGACGGGAGCATACGCATTGGCTCGTGAGGGCTCCGTGCTGCTGAACTTTGCCAACGCCATCGGCACGCGGAAATACGACTGGGACAACAAGCAGGTGCGAACGAGATATTCCTCCCTCGCCTCCCCCTCCTCCCCTTCCTCTACACCCCCCTTTGTCTCAACTTCTCCACCGCCATCGGCACGCGGAAATACGACTGGGGCAACAAGCAGGTGTGAACGAGATGCCCCCCCCCCCACGGCTCCCCCTCCTCGCCTCCCCCCTCCCCCCCCCCCCCCCGCTTGCCAACGCCATCGGCACGCGGAAGTGTTGTGCTGTGCTGTGTTGTGCTGTGTTGTGCTGTGTTGTGCTGTGTTGTGCTGTGCTGTGCTGTGCTGTGCTGTGCTGTGCTGTGCTGTGCTGTGCTGTGCTGTGCTGTGCTGTGCTGTGCTCTGCTGTGCTGTGCTGTGCTGTGCTGGGGCAAGTGAGCCTCCGTAGCGTGGTGGCCCCCACCCGTGCCTCCCTTCCGCCCCCAGAAGCTCTCCCTGTCGGTGTCAGGGCCAGTGCTGGGTCTGGTGAGGTTATTCGAACACCCCTTACCCACTCTACTCTCCCCTCTATGCCCCCACCCTCCTCCGCTCCCCCCTTTCTCCCTTCCCCCTCCCCCCCCCCCCCACAGATGTTCTCCCTGTCAGTGTCAAAGATTGGGTCAGTGCTGGGGCTGATGAGTTTATTCAAGGCCCCCCTATCCATCCGCTCCACTCCCCCCTCCACTCCTCCCACCTTCCCCCTTCCCCCTCGATGTTCTCCCTGTCAGTGGCAGAGATAGGGTCGGTGCTGGGGTTGGTGAGACGCCTGAACAGATCCCCTGTCCACTCCACCCTTCCCTCCTCCCCTCTCCCCTCCCCCCCCACATTCCCCCCCTCAGATGTTCTCCCTGTCAGTGTCAGAGATCGGGTCAGTGCTGGGGTGGGTGGGTTCATTCCAAGAAACCCTATCCGATCCGCTCTCCCGTCCATTGCTCCCACCTTGCCCCCTCCCCCCTCCCTCCCTCTCCCCCCCCCAGATGTTCTCCCTGTCAGTATCGGAGATCGGGTCAGTGCTGGGGCTGAACCCAGAGGACAAGCTCGACTTCTACCACGACCCCTCCAAGGGCAGGAGGTGAGGCAAGGCGAGGGAAGGGGAGGGGAGGGGGAAAGAAGCAAGGTGGGGGATGGGCGCCAGGGGGCCTACAGAAGCCTGCACCAGAGATTAGGGTGAGTATTGGGGTTGAACCCAGAGGACAAGCTGGACTTCTACCACAACCCTTCCAAGGGCAGGAGGTGAGGGGCGGGCGGGGAGCGAAGGGGTGGGGAGGTGAAGAAGTTGGAGTATACGCTCAGAGCCTCAAGCATATCACGTATAAACGCTTTCGTTTAAACGCTATACGCTACGGAATACGCAATACGCAGTCAGAATTTTTCTAGGGCTGCCCGAAGAAAAAAAATCGCGGAAAAGGTGCGGGTTTTCTTGGTGGGCATTTCGCGGAAGTCGAAATGCTAATCGGTGGTCTAGGCAAGCGGAAATGTGTCTTCGAAGTTCGCAGGCGTGTCTAGGAATCCAAATGTTGAATCTCAGATCAGTACCGCACTGAAACCCATCCCATCTACGAACTCCAACCCATCCAAAACTACCCCCCCAACAAACCCCACCGTTCTTACCAGCCAGCCCAGCTCGTAACTCGACATTTCTAATTTTATTTCATCTCGATCTTGCCGACCACATTCTTATCGACGAGCATGACTAGATTGGGCACCAACTTCGTGCTTTGCAACTCGCCGATCCCCCGATTTTAACCTAACAAACTGCCCAGGGAAAAGTTTTATGGTGCCCGGGACTGCGTATTCACTGCATACTGGACCCCTCCCAAGAAGCGTTCGGCGTTTATACGCTAGCGGATAAACGCTAGCGTATGAAACGCGAAACGCGTATACTCCAACTAAGTGAAGAGAGGGGAGGCGAGGTGAAGCGAGGTGGAGAATGGGCTGTGGGGACCACAAAAGCCTGGCGCAGAGCTTTAGTCAGTGCTGGGGCTGAACCCAGAGGACAAGCTTGATTTCTACCATGACCCCTCCAAGGGCAGGAGGTGAGGCAAGGGAAGGGGCGGGGGGAGGAGGGGAGGGGAGGGGAGGGGATTGGAGGGGAGGTGAGTGGACGGGAGGGGAGGGGGGAGGGGAGGGGATTTGAGTTGCCTTAATCGCCCATAGTTATTCCATCTCTTATTTATCTCTAGAGTTATCCACTGGAATTGTTATGTGGGATAATTTACTGCAGACATGTTATTCCTCTGTCTCTCTCTGGGTTTCATCTCTTCCTCTCTCGCTCTCTCTCCCTCTCCTCTCACACCCCCCCCCCCCCCCGCGCCCCCCCCCCACCACACGCTCTGCTCCTATCAGTGAAGAGGGTCAGGTGCAGAAGGTGCTGCGCATCCAGCCATTCAATGACTTCACTGGATTCTACTTCAGTCTCAGTGCGTGCCTTTGCCTCTCCCCTAGTGCGCGCACCACTCTCTGTTGACTGCTGATCAGTGAACGGTGGTTCGCTCAAATTCCTTAACTACCACGTGAGTTTGTCAGATGAGTATTCGTCTCCTTTGTTCCCTCTGTGCGTGTGTTTGCGCGCGCTCGCGCACGTGGTAATCTATGATGGACACACCCACAGGTGGTTTGCGTGTGCTGCGCTTCAGGACCTTCCGCTCTCTCCCTTCTGTTTCTTCCACTGGTTGTGTTCTTTTGCCTTTTATATATGTACACATGCTTGTTTATCTACATGTTTGCTTGTGTGCATGTTTCTGCAACGTGCGTCTGTGTATGTTTATCTACGCATGGCCATGTGGACTGCAGATGTGAAGGACGCTCGCAGGGGTGTTGATGATCGTTTTTCTGTGCCTGTCACCAAGGCGGAATTCATTGTGGTCCGAAGCGCCATGAATGTGAGTGAAAGGCAATGAAACCGCATTTTCTTTGTGAGCACTTGAGTCAATCCGTTCAGAGGAAATCAATGTCGTATAGTAACAAAACACAATCACTGGTGTTCAATACCGCGTTTCCTCGCTCTCTCAGCTCTAAAAGATGTGAGTGTTTAATCCTGCCAACGTGGCATGTGTGTTTTTTTCCATGTCTATTGATTCTCTTGTCCTTTGAACTGTAGTGGTTGTCTTCCCTCCATCTCAGTGCCAGCTGGCCTCAGTCTTTTGTCCTCCCTTGTGGTATTTACGGTATTGACACCGTTGTGCCCCTCTCCCCCTGCTCCTCACCCCCCCCTCCCCATCCTTACGGTTTGACACTGGCACCCACTCTGTTGCAGTTCATCTTACCGCATCTTATGGGATGGAATGCGTTTACAAGTCCTGGCGCCATTGATCCTTCTATGATGTTACCGTCAGCACCTTCTAGCGATAACAACTGGCAATGATAGAACCATCCTTTCTACTTTTGTACTCTCCAGTTTTCAGCTACCATCATATTCAGACCAATCAGGTTAGGTCTTCGTTTGGGCTCTTCAAAATGTTGCTGCTTTCAGTATACCGTAAACCCCCGCATATAAGACCCCCTCCAGTTGTAGACCCCCGGGTATATAATACGGGGGGGGGGGGGGGGGGGGGGGAGGGGGGGGTACTCTATCGAGTCTAGTCGAGATATACCCCCCTATTTGGCACCTTACAATATAAGACCCCCCTATCTAGTGCTGGGGAGAAGAAACAAGAGGAGAAGGACATGAAGTACAGCCTACACACAGGGACGTGCCAGCTACTGGGTGTAGAGCACCCCCTAACCAATACCGGGCAGCCCCCTCGCAGCGTGCATGGGGTGTGAAGGCCGAGGCGACACTGTGCGCTGGGCCCATCACATGGTGAGAACCCTCCCAGCTTGATTTCGTGTTGACGTGTGTCAGACCTCAAGGAGATGGTTTCGCGTATTTTCTTGGAGTGCTAAAACGGAACACTTCCCAATCAATTGTCTGTGCCCAAAAACATGTATATAAAAAGGTCAATTTGTACAGACCCGGGTCTTATATTATGTATGCCACTTATTTAGACCCCCCCATTTTTTTAGGTGCGATTATGATAAGATCCTAGGGTCTTATATCCGGGGGTTTACGGTATATGAACCAAGGGTTTATGGAGGCTTCAAACTACGGAGAGTCACTTCACATGGCAAAGTAGTTCAAGCACGTGCATCTGCTTTATTGAGCAGCAAGCTGGTACAAACCAAGACATCAGCAGGAGGGGTGGTATTGTTTAGGGGACTTACTGCATTACTAAATGCCCATAAAATCTCAGTCACCAGAGACAGATACTGGTATGACCATGGCTGAGGCTGTGAAGCTTTTGATTGTACTAACAGATTGATCGTCTCCAGACACTCCACGTGGTACGGGAAGGAGCATTTATGTTGCTTGTTTGGCGTTTTCCATCGCCGCGAGTGATCTCAACTTATTTTCAGCCTGAGAATGGCAATATATCAACAAGGCGTTTCGGAAGCATAAAGCAATAGTCCAACATACCGTATGGCAGTCCTGACGAAGAAGTGCTATAAGAGCTTCCATCTCGTGTTTCAGCTCTCCTCGATTCATTAACTTGAACAACACGTTAGACTTAGCGCACTTTCTCATCAGCAGAAGAGCATCACGAAGGGTAAAAGAAAGTGCTCTCATTTCGTCGCTGCCAGACAAGCCATCCGTCAGCACCAAGTGTGCCCAAGATATAAGCTCCATAAAAGTTGAACGAATTACCTCTTGGAGAATGCATTGACAGTATCAGGGCAGACCACTACTGCTGTTTCAAGAATGCTTTCGAATTTCCGTGCATAGCTACCAAATTCGTGGCAGTGAGTCCGATATATCTTGGCATCGTATTCAGAGTCTCGAATGCCCTCAAGGGTGTTCAGGACATCCTGGAAGCAGCTTAGTTTTCGAAGATTGGTCATTCTTCCAGCAACGCAACAAGGTGACAGAGCTCAGGGGGAGGATATCAAGGTACTGAATTCAGTGGAAGTCGCTGCAGCTCGGGAAGCTTGGCTTGCCAATTGCTTTTGGATGATGTCACAAATTCCTGAAACAGGCTTTCTGCAAAAAGCTGCGCTGCAGTTTATACACGTACATATTTTAGGGAAATCGTTTATACGATTTAGCACCTTCCACATATATATGCTAATCAATCAAGCATGATCTAAAGACTACTAGTTAAGGATGCCTAATGCACATTTATGTTATTTATAAGAATTCGAACTAAATATAGGATTGTCTAAATTCTTTAAAAGAGTTATGCATTGTAAGGAAAATTCCTTTTCATTACTTCGCGTCCCTGCTCAGCGCGTACACCACAGTTTCCCGCCAACAGTACCCCACAATAATCCGTTACCACTCGCGACATTCGCCTCGACACTATTTCCGCCACTGTTCACGACGCGACCCAACCTCACGGTTTGGTTGGTAATCTGCGCTCAGGACCTCCGCCTCGACAATCCCCAACCTCGGCGCTAGGCAGGCCCCTAGATTAGTTTTGAGGCACGCTGATCGATCAGCGTGCACCTCTGTTAGAACTCTGTGAGTCAGCGTGGCCCCAAAATTTTAGGCTGAAAAAATCAGACAACTCAAAGTTTTTTAGGCTGAATTTTCAGAGTTAGCTGTAAAACTTTCATAAAAAAACACAATAAAACATGTCACATATCTGAGTCAGAGTCTGAACCTCTACAGGAGCACGCTCAACCTCTACAGCCTCCTTCCGAGCCCTTGAAGGCTCCCTGTCTCTTGGAGCAGAGCGGTCGTGTTTGCAGGGAAGGTGGGGTGGGGTGGATGTTTGTGGTGCCGTACGAGGCGTAGTGCGCTGAGACTGAGAGCCATGCGTTGGCAACGATTCTTGCCAACGCTGCCTGCTGCGCAACCCTGATTGGCCGCTTTGCTGTACCAACGCGACAGTGCGGGGCCTCGCGGGGAAAACTTGATTTCCCGCCCGTGATTGACAGTGTTACCAGTAATCCTACAGGCTGGCGGAAATCCCTGTATTGCCGGATTCAGTGGCACCCCCGATACAAGGCTGAGGGCTCGGCCTACACTCATAAAATTAGGCTGAAATTTCAGCCAAGTCATAAAAAAAAACCCTGAAAAATCAGACAAGGTACGTAAAAAAAAACTTTCAGTTCAGCCTATGTACCAAAAAAAAGTCTGAACGAACTCTGAATCAGAGTAAAAAGTCTGATATCTAGGGCCCTGGCGCTAGGCCCGTCGCGCACCCCAATTTCCATACGTTACCGTTACCACTGTAGCTTCGCTATATATTTTTCGCTCAATCCTTCGCTCATTGTATTCTTGCCTCAATAGTGCAATCCTCGCTCACTCACTCAATTGCACTCGTAACACTTGGTATTCAGAGCCTACGATCTTCTCTCGGACCGCACCCACACCTTCGCTTCCCCACTATCTCACTTTTTGGGGGGTAGACATCTCTCAGCGACCAAGCACCGCCGCTCGTAGTGCTCTCTCGTAAGCACGCACGGCCACGCCAGAGGCTCTTGCTGAGCTTGCCCGACACCCCCGCCATGGCTGAAATTACTCTCGCGACACTGACGCAAGCACAGCTCGACCGTCTCGTGCGCCAACTCAAAGATTCGGCACTCGAAATTGCTACACTCACAGCGGAACGCGACTCCGCTCGCCAGCTATCGACGGTGAATGCACCAGCACCAACAAATGCACCTGCACAACCAGAGGAGCCGATCGTCATCTCATCAGGCACACCGACACAGAACGACAGCGTGGGACAACGCTCAGGCGTAGCCAGTGATGGTGCCACTCACTCAATGCCTGGCATGGAGAGAAAGAGGACCGCACCAAGCCCGTGGGAGCCTCGTGAAGCCCGTCGGCACGTGGATTTTGCAGCGACAAGTGGCGGGCACGCCATCATGGCACCAATGCCACTCAAGCCGCAGCGCCCACCCTGTTTCGACCCGAGCCAACGTGGAGGTCCGACGGTTCAATCGTGGGTCTTCACGATGAACGTCTTCTTCGACGCGAATTACGTCGAGTCGGACGCAGCGAAGATTCGCTATGCTGTTTCGCTGTTGAGGGGCCCCGCCATGGATTGGTGGCGAGTCATCGTGACGTCGCCACGCGCCTACGAGCCACCGTCGCAAGAGGAAGGGCCCACGGGCCTAGCCTTCACCTGGATTTCATTTTGCGAGACAGCCCAGTACAGCACGTGGGATGCGTGGTGCGCAGGGCTTCGGGCACGCTTCGAGCGGATCGCGACTTCTATTTCGGCGCGTCAGAGACTGCGTACTTGGCGGCAGCTCAGATCGGTTCAAGACTACACGAGTGGTTTTCTTGCATTATGCGAGCAAGTCGGATACATGCACGAAGCGGAGCGGGTGGACCGTTACATTGGAGGGCTGAAGCCGGACATCTCGCACGAAATTATGCTACATGGGCTCTCGAATTTTAACGAGATCCTCGCGCTCACCGAGAAATTCGACATTCTGCGCCGTCCGAGACTGGGGTCCTACCACGGACATCGTCCTCGGGTACCAATCGAGCACGCCACCGTACACGCCGTTGCGACGAATGCAGCTGCCGCACCGTTTAAGGGGCGCAGCTTTGGTTGCAATCGGCCGGGCCATTGCAAGAGCGAATGCCCAGAAGAGCTGAGGCACCGCGGAACAGAGCAGGGGCGGGAGTCTCAGAGGCAGGGAAACGCCGGCAGTCAGTAGAAGTTGGGCCAAGTACTGACGAGACTGCCTGCTCGCCCAACCTCACCGACCCTCAGCGAGTCACAGTACTGATTCATGTCAAACTTATATCTGCTATGGTCTATTTCGGCTGTAGTGGGGTAGCTCTTAGAGGGTACAACACTTATGTGTTTCCTATTTGTACCCATCTCATTTCTAGTTCATTCATTTCTTTCGTCTATCATTCTCACATGGTATAGAGCTAGTT